TTTATTAGGCTGATGTAATTCAGGAACGTGATCATAGACGTAAACTAAATTCTGCAGCAGCACCGGGCGGCCCGCGGATGTGCCTGACTGTAAGTGTATCGGCCTGTTGTCTACGCCCACACACGACGGCGGCTCATCTACACACAAACCTGTTCTGAGTTTTGTTTTTCCTTCCTGGGTTCAGTCTAAAGAGCCCCCCCAACTGTGTGGTGGGGAAGCTTCTGTGGACCCCCCTCCCCAGAGGCCGGCGGCGCTGGACGTGGCCCTCAGACTCCCCGGGAACCAACGCTGCTGCGACTGTGGAGAGGAGGAGCCACGCTGGGCCTCCATCAACCTGGGAGTCACGGTGTGCATCGAGTGCTCAGGTATCCACAGGTGAGTCAGAAGGGGGGGATGAAGATGATGATGATGATGATGATGGTGGTGGTGATGATGACGATGTGCTTACAGGAGTCTGGGTGTTCACCTGTCGAAGGTGAGGTCTCTCACTCTGGACTCTTGGGAATCTGAACAGCTGAAGGTAAAAACAACAGAAAACGCTGCAGGTCATCTCAGAAGATGATGAAGATGAAGTGAAAACATCCGCTCTGTAAATGTTTGAGTTACTATGAAAGTGTCTCATCGAGATTTAAGTCAGCAGCTCACGGCTGGGTCAGTTTAAACGAACAGAGCAGGAAGTGAAGCAGGGATTTTCACAATAATTCGTCTTAGAAGAAGAAGAAGAAGAAGAAGAAAGTATCATTTCTATAGCGCCTCTCAAGATAAAAATCACGAGGCGCTTCACAAAAACAAAACATGTAAAAATATAAAAAAGAATTTGGAAAATTATTACTAATATATTTTAAATGAGCAAAAAATAGACAATTGTGATTAAAAATGTAAAGAGAGAGAGAGTGAACAGGAAAGAGGGAAATCAGTGGATCCCAGAATGAGGAGAGGGTGATGAAGGTCACACCAAAGCTTGAACAAGTGAGTCTTCAGCTGCTTTTTAAAGGAGACCACTGAGTCCACTGATCTCAGGCTCAGGGGGAGAGAGGTCCAGCGTCTGGGGGCCACAGCAGCAGATGATCTGTCACCTTTGACCTTTAGCCTGGTGCTGTACAACCAGTAGAACCTCAGGGACCTGCTGGGGGTGTAGGGACTAAGAAGATCACCAATGTAAGATGGTGCTTGTCCATGTAAGGCCCTATAGACCAGAACCAGGATCTTGAAATGAACCCTGAAGTTGACTGGCAGCCAGTGAAGCTGGAGGAGAAGCGGGGTGATGTGGGTGTGTTTGGAGGACTTGGTCAGAAGCCGAGCACAGGCGTTCTGAACCACCTGTAGACGGTTCAGGTTGCAGAAACGATCAGAACAAAGGAGCAAAGTCTGACCAAAACCAAAGGCCAAGAGAGCAGCGATGTCCCACTAACGCTGCACTTCTGCATCTCCCTCAGCTGCTGTGTGTTTTGGGAAATGACGCCGTGAACCGGATCTACGAGGCCCGGTGTTCACAGGAGGGACGAGTGAAGCCTCAAGCTGACAGCCCGAGGTAAACGCTTCATTTTGATGTCTTCATTTAAAACGTCACAGCGTTTCCGATGGCGTATGAGAAACAGGAAGTAAACAACAACAAACAGGAAGTGTCCAGATTAACGTTAGGTTGGTGTTTGTAGACAAACAGCCTGAGGAGTTTGGGTCGTTTTACCGTCAGTTGGCCGTCACACACGCCGATCTTACTCAGAGGCCACAAACGTGGAGGATGGACCCCGATCCCACCATCACCAACAATACAAACAGCGCCAGTGCCTTTTGCTCCGTGATGTGATGAATCGGGATTTGGAAATCATTTTCACGTTTGAAACGTTCAACACTAAAGCTTCGGGTGTTTTTCTTGTCGGACTTCACCTGGATGCAAAAGGTGAGGTTTGCCACGGCTCGGTGTCGCCGAAGCTTGTTCTAGTCGTAGTCTTACCCGGGCCTTGGTCTCAGGGGGCAACTACCCCACCAGGGGTTTCCCACACCAGCAAACCGTGCGAGAGGGATCTAGACCACACGTCTGAGCCATCTCAGCTGGTTCTTCTCATGAGGAGGAGCTGCGGTTCTCTGAGCTCCGAGCCTAGCCACGCTGAAGAGGAAACGTGTTTCTGTATTTAGGATCTCCTCTGGTCATTAAGGAGATCAACTAGCTCCCTCTTCAGCTCAACAGAGCAGTGCAGCCTCGGTCCGCCTGTCGATCTCCCTCCTTCACTCTCTCGTGTAAAAGTCCAGAGCCGGTCCTCTTCCCAGATGCTTCACACTAGGCTGAGAACCAGGTGGGTCCGAGCTCCTGGTCTGAGATGAACTTCATGTTTGAACCCTTGTTACTCCTTTCAGAGCCGAGAAGGAGGCGTGGATCAGAGACAAATACGTGGAGAGGAGATTTCTCCAGCGCAGCAGCTCAGACGGAGAGAGTAAGGAAGTTAGTGTGTCCTGCAGGTGGGAGGAGACTTCCTGACGTGTGATGCTTCTGTTTCAGAGCATCAGGAAGACGAGGCGGGCCTACGCCTTTATCAGGCTGCTGTGGCGGGAGACCTTGTTGCCATGGCAACCGCTTTGGCTGAAGGGGCGGGGGTCAACAGCAGCATCGCGAAAGAGGAGGGCCGAACAGCGCTGAGTGGAGCGGCAGTCGGGGTGAGATCAAAGCCCATGTCCCAGAATGCACTGGGAGAGACGACCCCTGATCCAACTCAAACCTGGTGTGGCCTGTTGTAAAACATTTGTACTAGAAATTAAATCTTTTTTAAAAAAAAAAACATTCTTCTCAGAGAAAGCAATGAGAAATTGACATTTTAAAGGTGCATTATGGAAGTGTGACAGCCAAAACATGTATAGAAATAATAAATGTCTTCTTCATACATTCTCCTGCAATGCCCTGGTCCTGTAGAATGAGCCCTGGCATTTTTACTGTGATTGCCTGTTTTTCTGTAAAATCACAGAAAAAGAGAGCTGCTCGGGTCGAGCAGGCTGCTTCATGCACGTTCACGCTCAGGCATAGCCCGTAGCATTTGCTATCCGTAGCTTTAGCAGCAGAGAGAGAGGCAGTGCCACTTTGTCGCTGTTCCTAACGCCTAGTGACAAAGCTAGCTACATTTCTGAGGACCCTTAGCTACTTTCTGTACAACTTTCTTCTAGATATTTCCTGCTAATTAGCAACAAAATAGCCATTTTCACTCCGAACCGTTCTTTGAATGTTGTTTCAGCTGTAATCAACGATATAAATGTTACAGATACGAAAGACATCACTGATGCTTTAGCTCACCTAGTAAGATGTCTGACTCTCATGCAGAAGACATGGGCTCGATTCTGGATGTGAACATAGTTTATTTAGAGTTTCTTTTTTACATTAATGGTATATTTTTTTACAGTAAGATGCCCAAATTTTTAATTGAGACTCGCTGAACGGCGTTGAATTCACAGATAAAAAAGATGTGGGTTCAACTTTCATTTTGGAACAATTTTTCAAGCAAGGGAAGGGAATGGTCTGAGCATGCAGGAGGACTGACCCATCATAAACCTTTGTCGGCTGTGCTGAAGAGAAAGGTACAGAACCACATTATTTAATTAATTAGCTGCGCGTTCTGTCCTCTGTCCTCTGGGCCACACACACACACACACACACACGGGACTGTCTCAGCTGTTATTTTCGTTAAGGAGTGTGCACGAACAGCATGCGCGCCTCGTGCACGAGCCTACTATTGAAGCTGCTGTTACGCTTTTGGCCTGAGGGGGCAATCGCAAGCATAAAAATTCAAAAGTCCATAAAGTCCCTTTAATTTTGTTTCTAAATTTCTGATCATATTTAAATCATATTAACTAGTTATTCATGACTGTTTAACATTTCTATATAAAACACGTCCGGGCTGTATTGTGACAAACGATGAAAAGTGAGTCGAACTGGATTAGACGTCGAGACGAGCTCACCGTGTTGTTTCCGGGTTTCACCTGCAGGGGTCGCTGTCGGCCTGTGAGTTCCTGCTGCAGAACGGCGCGAACGTCAACCACAGGGACCGGAGAGGACGGGGGGCGCTGCACGCTGCTGCCACCGCTGGACACACCGGGTAATGACACAACGACTCCAACCTGCTCGGGTGATGCTAGCGCAGCGACACGGCTCACTCTGATTGGTCCATATAGACAGGTGTGTCTGCTGCTGAAGAGAGGGGCCAATCAGTATGCTGTAGACGAGAGGGGACAGGACCCACTGGCGATCGCCATGGAAACGGCTAACGCTGACATCGTCACGCTGTGAGTATTCAGATGAGCGTCGCCTCTGTGCCTGTAGGCTAACACACCTGAGGGCCGGACCACAGGTACGAACACTCAGGTGGAAGAACCTGATTTTATCTGAATAGAATAGAATATTCCTTTATTAGTCCATCTGTAGCAGAATATACGTAAAAAGCAGTTAAAGAAATATTAAAAACTAATATAGATTATAAAAGGAAACTAAAGATCATTACTGGCAAACTGGGAATATAAAATGAATCTGTGATCTGAAATATCTTGTTGAACTTGGAGGAAAGAAAAATAAAGTCCAGCTGTTATTTAATTTTTACTGAATTTGACTTTAAAGTGAATCAAAAGTTCTCTAAAGTGGATGAATACCACTTTCAGCCTGACTCCATCCAACCATCCAACGAGCAACAAATCCTGGGATTTTCCACTTGATCCAGACTGGGAAAGAGACTTTCTGTGAAGGAACCTTCAGGGTTTAGCAGACTTACAATGTAGCCTTTGAAGGACACAGTCTTGATTTGGCTCCTAATTATTTCTGATAATTAACAGAATAAAGGTTTTCAGTCTGTTCTGCTGCTGTGTTTCAGTCTGCGGATGGCCCGGATGAACGAGGAAATGAGAGATTCAGAGGGAGTGTTCGGGATTGCAGGTCAGTCCACTGGTTAATGATTTACTTATTAAGACTCGTTAACTGGTGACACAGAACGCACCGTGGCCCGTTCTAACTGTTGACCCTGAATGCACCATGATCCGTTGTAATTGGTGACCCAGAACGCTCCGCGGCCCGTTCTAACTGGTGACCCTGAACGCACCGCGGCCCCTTCTAACTGGTGACCCTGAACGCACCGCGGCCCGTTCTAACTGGTGACCCTGAAAGCACCACAGTCAATTCTAACTGGTGACCCTGAACGCACCACAGTCAATTCTAACTGGTGACACAGAATGCACCGCGGCCCGTTCTAACTTGTGACCCTGAACGCACCGCGGCCCGTTCTAACTGGTGACCCTGAACGCACCACAGTCAGTTCTACCTGGTGACCCTGAAAGCACCACAGTCAATTCAATTCTAACTGGTGACCCTGAACGCACCACAGCCCATTCTAACTGGTGACCCTGAATGCGACGCGGCCCGTTCTAACTGGTGACCCTGAAAGCACCACAGTCAATTCTAACTGGTGACCCTGAAAGCACCACAGTCAATTCTAACTGGTGACCCTGAACGCACCACAGTCAATTCTAACTGGTGACACAGAATGCACCGCGGCCAGTTCTAACTTGTGACCCTGAACGCACCGCGGCCCATTCTAACTGGTGACCCTGAACGCACCACAGTCAGTTCTACCTGGTGACCCTGAAAGCACCACAGTCAATTCAATTCTAACTGGTGACCCTGAAAGCACCGCGGCCCATTCTAACTGGTGACCCTGAACTCACCGTGGCCCGTTCTAACTGGTGACCCTGAACGCACCACAGTCAATTCTAACTGGTGACCATTAATGCACAGCAGCCCGTTCTAACCGGTGACCCTGAACGCACAGCGGCCCATTCTAACTGGTGACCCTGAACTCACCACGGCCCATTCTAACTGGTGACCCTGAACTCATCACGGCCCATTTTAACTGGTGACCCTGAAAGCACCGCGGCCCATTCTAACTGGTGACCCTGAACTCACCATGGCCCGTTCTAACTGGTGACCATTAATGCACCACAGTCCATTCTAACTGGTGACCCTGAACGCACCACAGTCCATTCTAACTGGTGACCCTGAAGGCACCGCAGCCCGTTCTAACTGGTGATTCCAAGTGCACTCCTGTTGGGTCTAACTCATTAACTCAATATTTCTGTTCATCAGGAGATGATGAGACATTTCAGGACATCATCAGAGACTTCAGCAACATGGCATCACATGACCCTGAGAGGCTCAGCAGGCGTCGGTTCAGCCGGGGGGGCGAGGAGGTGGAGGAAGAGAAGTGAAAGGAACGACCAGTGTTAAAGACTTGTGACTGACAGAAAGGGGCTCCTGTTACCATGGTAACAGCGGTGATGGATGTCTTTAAATGGTGAAGACCACGGTTGTGTCTCAATTCAGGGTCTGCGTCCTTCGTCGGCCGGTTACGTCACAGCGCAGCGACTAGGCCTGTCCCAATTCGACGACTTCTTCAAATGCGGCCGACGAATCCGGCCTTCTTTTCGCCCGCGAGCAGGATGGGTCCGGTGTATCCTTCAGTGGTTTACATTTCCCAAGGTGCCTTGCGGGCCGGACGGGAGACTTTTTGAAAACAATGGCGGACAGTGAAGCGGGAGCTGTCGGAGAGGTTTGTGCATATAAATATCCGCATAAACTTGAAAACAGCTTAAGGACTTTTTGTGATACATGAACGTTATTTTAGTTTAAAATGTTACAGTAAAAATGCTCTCAGCTCGTATGTTCGGCCGCTCGGCCACGGCACGGTTGCTAGGCGACGGAACGTTCGCCGAGGGAGTGGCGGGAATTCCACGAAGGCTAGGCCTGTCCAAATTCACAGCCGTTAACATCCGGTCTACTCGGCCGACGGAGGACCCAGCCCACGTCGGCCGAATGGGCTGGGTCCTCCGAAGGATGCAGACCCTGAATCGAGACACAGCCAAAGTAGTACTGGACCAGTCCTGATGACCCAGGTCAAAGGTCACCATGGATGGAAAACTGTTACGGCTCTCAGATTTCTCTGATCCTCTTTAGCCAGACCCCAGGATCGGCCTGAGGAGCACCGTGATATTGAAGGCTTTCATGAAGATCTTTTCTCCATGGTCCAGATCATTTCAGTCAACAGAAAATCTGTTCAGAACCAAGCTGAGAATTAATTTTACTGTCATTTTAATCCCGGCGTAAAATCAACCGCTGTAATAAACTGGATCAGGCTTTATATGATTTTAACTAGAATCCAGTTTAACGAGATAATCTTTGTGACTGGATTAGCCTCTGTGCTCTAATCCAGATTAGTGTTTAAACTAATCTAAACAGGAAATGCTGTAAAACGATGAAGAGAGAAACTTCCTCCCACTGACTGAAGGATTCTGCTGCTAAAACCCGTTTGTGTTTGTTTTAATGAATCAGCCGTTACATCACTTCCTGTTTCCTCTGACGGATTCCTGACTGCTTGCTGGTTTCAGACCAGCTGGAAGCTTCAGATGAACCTAGTTTTTGTTTCAGTCTGATCTTATTGCTGCTGAATAAAACCACTCAACCAGTAAACCGGGATTTTGTTTTTACTGCAAAATAAAAACAAAATCAGAAACTAAAGCAAGCCGCCGACCGGAACTCGGACTGCTTTAGGTTTATTTCTGTCGAGCGTTTTATAAATATTTTAACTCGCATCGTCGTTTTTTTGCTCTGATCATTTTTTAGATATTTAAAATTTTGTTCTACTTCCTGTTTAAATAAAGAAGAAGAAGAAGAAAATATCATTTCTGTAGCGCCTCTCAAGATAAAAATCACGAGGCGCTTCACAAAAACAAAAAATATAAAAAAGCATTTAGAAAATGTTTAAAAATATATTTAAAATGAGCAAAAATAGACAATTGTGATTTAAAAAAAATGTAAAGAGAGAGAGTGAACAGGAAAGAGGGAAATCAGTGGATCCTGAGGAAGGTGGAATAGGTGGGGAGAGCAGAATAAAGAGAGAGAGGCTCAGAAATGAGGCAGTAAATGACATTTTCATACATATTCGTTCCTCAGCTACGTGAGCAAAAGCCCCAAACCCCACTGGAACGAGAGTTTTCAAAAAGAAAAGTTCACGAGACCTTGTAGGGATGGGTGCCTTTTACATTTGAATCGATACTGGTACTTAACGGTACCAATTGTTGAGTGTTTAATAATTATTTAAATCACTTTTTTAATTACATATATATTATTTTTCCAATAAATAGCCATATTTGATAAATATCATGATAAAACATACAACTGTTTGTATTTTTTCATCGTGATATTGTATAAAATTCTTCATTATGAAAACCTTTAATAACAACCGTTTCTAAATGATGCAAAAACAAACCCAGCTCCACGGACTCCTGTTCCTCTCCCTTTTTCATCTGGACAAACTGTGTGATGGTGGGTCCTTGTAGTTTTATAACTACAAGTTACACTGAAGCAAACATCTTTGCTGTGAACTAAATTTACTGTGCATCTTCATTCTTTTTGCCGTTTATTTTCAAACTTTATTTTTCCTACTCGGAAGTTGGAATTTCCGAGGAGAAAGTGAATGCACCATTAGCTATGTAAAGCAAAAACTAAACTATCAAGCTAACGTTAACTTAAAGAGCAAGTCACTCCAAATCAACATTTTTTTTGCTGATAAACTATATAAACGAGTGTCTAATCGTGCTGCAGACACGTGTAGTCAATAATTCGGCACTTTAGTGCATTTTAGTTAAAATTTAAATAATCTGCCTAAAACTCAGTGTTGCACCGTCGTCAGGTAAAAACTCCGCACTGCATTTGAATTTAAATCTGCCATCGCTATTGGCTAAGAGGTACACTATGATGTTAGATGGTACATTATGATGTCACAATGTCGTGAGTGTGTGTATTTGTTAGCGGCTCCGCCCTCTCGGTCTACCAGGCAACAGCATTTGTTGCATTTTTCAAACAGGAAGTGGGAGTTGAGTAAGAATCTGGTAGGCAGTGACTTGCTCATCATAGTGTACCTCTTAGCCAATAGCGATGGCAGATTTAAATTCAAATGCAGTGTTCAGTTTTTGCCTGACGACGGTGACAGTTTTAGGCAGATTATTTAAATTTTAACTAAGATGAACTAAAGTGCCAAATTTTTGGCTGAACGTGTCTACAGAGCAATTAGACATTCATTTATATAGTTTATCAACAAAAAAAGTTGATTTGAGGGTGACTTGCTCTTTAAAGAGCAAGTCACCCCCTACCAGATTCTTACTCAACTCCCACTTCCTGTTTGAAAAATGCAACAAATGCTGTTGCCTAGCAGACCGAGAGGGTGCAGCCGCTAACAAATACACACACACACACACGGCATTGTGACATCATAATGTACCTCTTAGCCAATAGCGACGGCAGATTTAAATTCAAATGCAGTGCTGAGTTTTTACCTGACGACGGTGCAACACTGACAGTTTTAGGCAGAATATTTAAATTTTAACTAAGATGCACTAAAGTGCCGAATTATTGACTACACACATCTGCAGCACAATCAGACACTCATTTATATAGTTTATCAGCAAGAAAAAATGTTGATTTGGAGTGACTTGCTCTTTAAAGTAGGCTGCTTCATGCGCGTTCACGCTCAGGCATAGCCCGTAGCATTTGCTATCCGTAGCTTTAGTCTTTGTCGCTGTTTCTAACGCCTAGTGACAAAGCTAGCTACATTTCTGAGGACCCTTAGCTACTTTCTGTAGAACTTTCTTCTAGATATTTCCTGCTAATTAGCAACAAAATAGCCATTTTCACTCCGAACCGTTCTTTGAACGTTGTTTCAGCTGTCATCAAGAATATAAATGTTACAGATGCTTTAAATGTTACTAGTGTGTAGCTCACCTAGTAAGATGTTGGACTGTCATGCAGAAGACCTGGGTTTGATTCTGGATGTGAACATAGTTTATTTAGAGTTTCTTTTTTACATTAATGGTATATTTTTTTACAGTAAGATGCCCAAATTTTTATTTAAGACTCGCCGAACGGCATTGAATTCACAGGTAAAAAAGATGTGGGTTCAACTTTCATTTTGGAACAATTTTTCAAGCAAGGGAAGGGAATGATCTGAGCATGCAGGAGGACTGACCCATCATAAACCTTTGTCGGCTGTGCTGAAGAGAAAGGTACAGAACCAAATTATTTAATTAATTAGCTGTGTGTTCTCCTGTCCTCCGGGCCACACACACACACACACACACACACACACACACACACACACACACACAAAGAACTGTCTCAGCTGTTATTTTCGTTAAGGAGTGTGCACGTACACCATGCGCGCCTCGTGCACGAGCCTACTATTGAAGCTGCCGTTACGCTTTTGGCCTGAGGGGGCGATCGCGAGCATAAAAATTCAAAACTCCCTAAAGTCCCTTTAAGATTAGTGAGATGTTCGATCTGCAAGGTTGCATTCTGGTAAATTGACTGTTCCCATAAAATCTGATCTCTGGTCAGATTTTTTTAGGCTAACTGGAGTTGTCTGCTGGCTTTACCAGACACGCCCTCCCCACCCCAACTGTGAACTTTAGGCATTTCCTTCTTTAATGGGGCCAGGGTTGGGTGGTTTGCTTTCACAAACCTTTTTCCCACAGAAACACATCAGAGGAGATCCCTTATTATAAGAACTGGTTTCATTAGAATTTCACTGCTTTGCTTTAGAAGGTAACAAAAACCCGAGAAGCTCAAGCCAGTCAGAAACAAGAAGGAAAACAAAAAAATTTCTGTTTTTTATTCCAGTTTTTACAATTACAATAAAGTTAAACAGCTGCTGTTTCCAACTTGACCACTAGTAAATCAGTAATCTAGTTAAAATGTGACATGTTCTGAGAAAATTAGCTTTTTTATGAACTTTAAGCAAACACTGGATCTCTAAACAATTACAGAGGTCAGCCTGATGTCTCCATCGATCTCCAGGATGTTGATGGTATGAACGGGAGTATGACGGTGTTTGTAGGTGTGAGCCTGCATCCCGTTCACCACCATCCGGAAGACGTTCTTCTCACAAATGATGGTCAGCTGAAAGAAATGAGTTGAAGATGTTCACTGATGGAAATTGTCACACTTGAGTTTACTTTGACATGACAGGTGAGCTGGTGAAGGTGCTCTGGAGTTTTCTTAACCCAAACTGAGAAATACAGACTACTGAGCTTTGAAACTGCTGTGAGAACTTTGTTAATGCAAGCTGACTCACAAACCCTTCCTGGATCGTCCTTCCTGAGGACCGCTCCGGTCCCAGTCAACACGTAACAGTCTGTAAACTAGCATCACTCAAGCTCTCACTACAGGGGACAGCTTTCTGGGTTCAGTTTTAGACTATGATGAACCCTTTCAGTTTAATAAATCTGAATTTTTACTGTTTACAGTCATCACCTGAATTTTTTTACTTTTCCACTTGAAAAAAAAAAGTACATAATGGCTTCCTAATGGTTTTTCACTGTCTGGAAAGTCCATATTTAACACTGGATTTTTTATTTTATTTTTTTTTTACTCTTGGCTTCTTCAGCCCACGAGCACCCCATGAGCACGTGCACTCCCAAACGTGATCTTGAGTTCTGGCCTTACTGTCGTCACAAAGGCAGGATGTACAGTACCATATATGGACAGCACAGAGCAACACCGCTACAGCCCACACTGTTCCGCTTCCAGAAAAATTTAAAGAGCAAGTCACCCCCTAACAGAGTATTACTCAACTCTTACTTCCTGTTTGAAAAATGCAACAAATGCTGTTGCCTAGCAGACCGAGGGGGCGGAGCAGCTAACAAATACACACACACAGGTTCATAACAACATTGTGACATCATATGGTACCTGCTAACGTTCTAGGGCACATCTTAGCCAATAGCGATGGCAGATTTAAATTCAAATGCAGTGCAGAGTTTTTACCTGACAACGGTGCAACACTGACAGTTTTAGGCAGAAATTTTTAATTAAAATGCACTAAAGTGCAAAACTACTGACTGCAGCTCGATTAGACACGCATTTATACAGTTTATCAAAAAAAAAGTTGATTTGGGGTTGACTTGCTCTTTAAAGAGCAAGTCAACCCCTACCAGAGTCTAACTTCACTCCCACCTCATGTTTGAAAAATGCAACACATGCTGTTGCCTGGCAGACCGAGAGGGCGGAGCCGCTAACAAATACACACACACAGGCTCACGACAGCATTGTGACATCATGATGTACCAGTTTACATCATAGCATACTTCTTAGGGATGAGGATCAGCACCTCCAAATCTGAGACCATGGTTCTCGACCGGAAAAGGGTGGCTTGCCACCTCCGGGTCGGGGGAGAGGTCCTACCTCAAGTGGAGGAGTTTAAGTATCTCGGGGTCTTGTTCACGAGTGAGGGTAGGAGGGATCGGGAGATCGACAGGCGGATTGGTTCGGCGTCTGCAGTGATGCGGACGCTGAGCCGATCTGTCGTGGGGAAGAGGGAGCTGAGCCAGAAAGCCAGGCTCTCGATTTACCGGTCGATCTACGTCCCAATCCTCACCTATGGTCATGAGCTTTGGGTAATGACCGAAAGAACGAGATCGCGGATACAAGCGGCCGAAATGAGTTTCCTCCGTAGGGTGGCCGGGCTCAGCCTTAGAGATAGGGTGAGGAGCTCGGACATTCGGGAGGGACTCGGAGTAGAACCGCTGCTCCTCCGGATCGAAAGGAGCCAGTTGAGGTGGTTTGGGCATCTGGTCAGGATGCCTCCTGGACGCCTCCCTGGGGAGGTGTTTCGGGCATGTCCTGCCGGCAGAAGGCCCCCGGGTCGACCCAGGACACGTTGGAGAAGTTACATCTCCAATCTGGTCCGGGAACGCCTTGGGGTCCTGCTGGAGGAGCTGGTGGAGGTGGCCGGGGAGAGGACGGCCTGGAGCTCCCTAGTTGGGATGCTGCCCCCGCGACCCGGACCCGGATAAGCGGAGGAAGACGAGACGAGACGAGCATACTTCTTAGCCAATAGCGGTGGCAGATTTAAAGTAAAATACAGTGCAGAGTTTTTACCTGACAACGGCACAACACTGACGGTTTAAGGCAGAATATTTAAATTTTAACTAAGATGCACTGAAGTGCCAAATTATTGGCGACACGTGTCTGCAGCACGATTAGACACTCGTTTATTTAGTTTATCAGCAAAAAAAATGTTCATTTGGGGGTGACTTGCTCTTTAAACTTTCATTTGGAAGTATTTTTCAACAATGACGGGACGTGTCATTTGGAACCGTAGTACGTACAAGGAAGGTTCCATCTTTCTCGCCTCTGATTATTACAGCGAGATTATTATAGTTCACAGTTTCTTTTTAAAACTCCCCAAAACAGCTTTCTGTTGGTGGCGGTGGCAGGAGAACAGTCTGCATTTAGCGAGGGAAGATGCCGATTTGCTGCTAAATCGTAGCGGAGCCCTTCTAGCCAAGCAGAGGCGAAAAAGACGGGATCTTCCTTGGACACAGCCAAAATATCGAGTGTGCTCTCACGACAAAACATGTCCTTTACACAAAAAAAAAAGGGATCAGAAAAGCAGTTTTTAATTGATTTTCCAATACAAATAATTTTTATGGCTTAAAAGTCCATGATGTAGATATCCATGGTAATAACAGGTGACGACTCCTTTAAAAGATGCTAGATGGAGGAAACTGATTCACAAATTTGGTGTTTGTTTTCCATTTTGTAATTTTTTTAAATGTCTAACTGATATCCAGTCTGTGTGATCCCCTTTGTGTGATCCTGTGTATGGCTTCTGTGTGTGAGCCGGTGTGTGTGTGACCTACTCTTACCGTGAACGGTTGTCCCCGCTGGAAGGGCATCCCCCCGCCCCGTGCCTCAGGACCCCAACTGTTCCCCTGCTTGGTGTTTCGGACCACAGTGTTCTCGTTGAAACGTGGATTGTAATGCAAAGCGATTCCGGACTGATGGCTCAGATTCACGTGGAATCTGAAAAACAACCAGCGAATTTGGGAAGGAAAACGGGAAACCCTACGCTTGGCCCCACCCACACCAGCTCGTTCGAGTTGGTTTAACCCTCCCTCTGTCCTCATGGGTGACCCCGCCAGGAAAGTTGACCATTGAGCAGCATCGATGGTTTATCCCTTGAGGTCCACGTGGCAGGGGTGAGTGTTGGATAATTTTATATTACTCCCAAAATTACCTCAAAGAAAGTCAGAGCATACACAGAGGGATTAGATTAATAATTTGCTTAATTATAATCAAAATACAACCAATCAACAAATTCAACTTTGCAAAGGGTGAAACATACACACCAGAGTCAGAGGCGGTTTGTTCTCACACAGAGGTAAAGCTGTCGAGAGCTTTTATTAGGAATCACATCACCAGAGATAACCACACCTACTTATCACGGAAGACAAAAGGGAATACTTCAAAGAGGTTTCACAGCAGGACCATGCAGACGTCCAGTCTGGCCTTGATTAGCTGCAGGAGGGAGGCATTACTAATTTAAATGTAAATAACGATGATAAACTCTGTTTGATTACCACAATTTTTATCCAACAGTGAGGAGTGAGCACCACCTCACCCTTGCCACGTGGACCTCAAGGGATAAACCATCGATGCTGCTCAATGGTCAACTTTCCCGGCGGGGTCACCCATGAGGACAGAGGTCACCCATGAGGACAGAGGTCACCCATGAGGACAGAGGTCACCCATGAGGACAGAGGGAGGGTTAAATGTGAAATTTGTGGAAGGAGTCAAATTTTCACTGACATGCAGCAGGAAACACGACTATTCTCCACTCCACTTCCTGTTGAGCGAGTCATCGTTCTGCAGAAACCCAACATTTTCTGCAGAACGTTGACTTTGTGTATTATGAAATTTTAAAGCTAAACAACAGCAATTTAAAACACTTTCACGAATTTCACAATTTCCGGAAACCTCTGAATAAAATGTCCTCTCATGGCCGTTTAGGCACTTCCTGGTTCTGCTGCATCATGGAACAACTTCCTTTTCTTTGATCTGGATTCATTGGCTGTTTCATGTCAGGACGCGCTGGTGAGTGGAGCGGAGGTAAGGATCCAAACGCTGGGGAGGAAGCAGGCAGGCAGACAAACTAGAAAACTCAAAAGGGTTTTAATGGTATCTGGACACAGGACATGGAAACAATGAGGCAGCAAGAGACACAGAACTGGAGCGGTTTAAATACAAGAGGGCTGAGATCTTGGGTGATTGGGAAACGAGAGGCAGGTGGGAGCAATCAACAGAGACACAGGCTGAACCAAACGGGGAGACAGGACGGTGTGACATTTTAGCAGCAGCTGGATGAAGTTGGTTTCTTCTCGTCCTTTCGCTATCATGGCAGACCTTTATGAAACCGGCTGGTTTGACCGCTGACCCACTCGGGTGTAATTAAAACATCCAATGATCTAAAGCAGTGGTCCGCAAATGGCGGCCCGCGAGCCACGTCCGGCCCGCGAGCCCTCTCTTTGTGGCCCCCAAACCCCGCGCGCACCCCCCAACCCCAACCCCGACGGCCGACCGGGAGGTTTAGGATAGAGCTGAGGAAAAAAATCAAATAGTCAATGCATGAGATGCAGGCATGAACGGTTTTGCATCAGAAGATTAAAATAATCAGTTATAGTGGAATGTAGTTGTGTTATTTTAACGGCGGCACCAGCACAGCATCCACATCTGTCAGAGAGGTACCGGGTAGGAAACTTTGATCCGCCTACATGTGGTACTGCAGGGCTGAGCGCTGGAGTTATAACCTGAGACCGAACCTGAATCGAATCAGCCCGACCGGTTCTGTTGGATTTGGGCCGTAAATTATGTTAATTGAGCGGGTTGTCGCGCGGCGCGCTCCGCTCGCTCGATCAGCGACTGAGACAGGAGAGAGGGAGATTGTCTGCTCACACAAGAGAGAGGATCGGAGGACGCTCCTCCAAACACGCGTTATTATTTTCATAATTTCATTATCGTTTCCCCTGGAAGAGCTCAGTCAGACCGAGTGCTGTGATGCCGGGAGGGCCGGTCTAGGGGAGGGGGCGGGGTCAGTGACGGCGGCAGCAGCGTAACCTGTCTCTTATTTAGGGACATGGAGAAGGTAACAGGAGAAATAGAAGATAGAAGTTCTTGTTCCACTTTATTCTTTTGTTTCATGAAGATAAACTGATGTTAAATTCAGCTTAAAGGGAAACTGGGAGGAAGCTTTGGTTCATTTTAAGTTACAGGAGATCTTGTCTCCTATCTGCTCCTCCAGAGACAGCATGGACATGAGGGTTACATGGTGACGGTCACACAGGACAGGTTAGTGCAGTCACACAGCCGAGCTGGAGGGGGACAGGTGTTGTCCTGCTTTATATTGCAAGCTTGTGTGTTATGTGCGTTACAGCCAGCGATCCAAACAGCAGCAGCAGCCCTCCATTCCCGGCCCTCTTCCTTCTGGGTCTTTTTGTGTGTGGCCCTCGGACCATTATAATTGAGGGCGCCTGATCTAAAGGCTTCAGATCATAAGGCTTATTTTGTGTACAGTCCTGAAGGTCAGGAGTTAGCCTGAACCCCAGCAGCCAGGACAGAACCCAGCTTGTAATCTAGTCTCACCTGGTGGCACTGGGATTGACAATTCCCTGGATCGTGATGGTTCTGCCAGGTTGGAGTCCACTGCTGATGAAGTTCTTGTAGGGAACAACCTGCAAGCAAGTAACACCTAAATTAGCTTTTTTTTGGCTGATAACCTGTACAGATGAGTGTCTGATAGTGCTGTAGACATGTGTATCACTGCCTCAGCGCTGCTCTCAGTCCGCCAAGCAACGCCCATTTTAGCGTTTTTCTGACAGGAAGTGTCGAAGTCTCCAGCCATGCCATGACTCCCACTTTAAAGTGTTACTTTACTCATGTTTTAACACACATGCACACAAATCATACCACATACCACACCACTCTACATTCTAAAATTTCTTGTCGTACCCTGACTCTCCCTCACACCACTCTACAGACTAAAATTTAAATGGATTAAATGGAACAGACTTGCATCACGTGGCCGCGGCTTCCACGGCGGTCACATAACGTCACGTGACACGGGAGATTATGTTATATTTTATACGTATTAGTTTCAATATAAATATATAACAAGGCTTTTTCTTTTTACATTTTGTGTAAATGTTTATTAAATTAAATATGTAAGCGAGTTACTACCCGCTAGCCACTGAAGCTGCAACTACTAAGCAACTAACCAACCATAGATAACTTCTTTGGATCTAAAAAAAAAACATTTTAAATTAGTTGATTTACTTTTAAACTTGAAAATTGTCCCAAAAGTAGCTGCCGGCTTCTGATCCGCCGTCTTTTTGAAAATACTGTGGTGTATTGTGGGTAATTTTTGACCAAGGCTAGGCTACAAGACACCTCCCGTGTATCCTCGCTCAGCTAGCTAAACGGCTAACAAACGGAGAACACACGCCACAGCAGAACATGAACATTGGAACACGTCTTGGCGGCTCCCGATGACGTATCTCCTAGGCCAGTGGTTCCTCACCTGGGGGTCCCGACCCCCACAAGGGGGCGCCAAAGCCTCTCAGTGGGTCGCCAGGACCTCTCCACTTTAAGGGGTTAAAACTTCATTTATTACTTGTTTATAGCCTACATTTTGCTCACTTTTTTTTTTCATGAGTTAAAAGTTTACTGATATTAAGAGAGGAAATAATTAGTACAGAAAGAGTAACACGCTTTTAAGAACATTTTGCTCAGCTCACTGTTTTATTTTCAAGTGTCAAAAGTTCATTAAAGATAGGACTGGTGGATTAATCACAGCCTTTACAGTAAATAATCTAGTATAAACAGTAATATACACATTTAAGTACATTTTGCTCAGTGTATTTTTTATGTGTCAAACGTTTATTGAAAGGAATGATTTATCGGTGTTTACAAGAAACAATGTGTTCAGAAAAGTATTACAAACTGTCAAGCACATTATGCTCTGCTTGGTTTTGTTAATGACTTTGTTCTGTACTGGAGCCTACTATTACTGTTATCTATTGAATCAAAGCATATTAAAATGTGCTTGAACAATTTTATAAATTTCTTAATAATGTTTGTACTGGAAGAGAGAATAAGAGGGGGTCATCAAAAATTTTACTGGTAAAAAACGGGGTCCCTTGGGAAAAAGGTTGGGAACCACTGTCCTAGGCAACCAGGGCGGGGCCAAGACATCAAGGCAAGGTTCCTTGGCACTGAGAAACACCCAGTTTCCTTGACGCTAAACCAACACCAGCCTTCCCTGTCGTGAGCCGAGATGGGTGAGTCCATGAACGTAACAGTGTGACGTAGATCTGTCAGGCTTTTCTAATCCTGGAGTTTCACCGTCTGCTTTCTATCAGAAGCTAATGCAGGAGTTAGGTGTAGGAGACTATTTTCATGTTCAGCCTGCATGAACAACTCAGAGTGACTGATTATATTCAGAAAGCTAGCGCTAGCGGCTAGCTCCGGTGAAGGCCTCGGCCTCTGAACTCTAGCTGTGTCCTCTGTGTGTTCGTGCTTGGATGTTAATCATGGAATTGTCTGGACAAAGAGGGCAAGCTGTGGTATTGATCATCAAACCATTCAAGAAGTCAGCTTCAGTTTAATGAGTAAGTAAAATTATATTCTGTTGGTTGAATGTGTGCATTTAACACTGCTTGGTCAAAGATGGGTTGAAATATGACGTTGGTGAGACTGGCTGGGTACCAAAACTCAAGCTAGGTAAGCTAGCTGAGGAGTTTTCTGATCCACCGCGGTCAAAGATCAGCGAGGCTGCCGCTGCAGAAGGGAGGATAACCGAGTTTCTCACCCTTCTGCAGCGGCTGCTTCAGTTTATGGGTATCAATCATTTGTTTCTCACTTTGCAAGTTTGGTTTTCTGTTGTCCTAACAAGAAACAGGAAGTGCAAACTTTATTAGCCTGAATGTCCCTCATGTCCGCATCTGCAACTCCTGACAAACATAGATCAGAGTCACAGGTTAAAGAGCTGGAATGCGGAGTGGTTCTGAGTCAGCTTCCTGCTGCACGTGTGATTCCCTTCATTTGGTGTCAGTTTAGTTTTAAGTGTAATGATTAATGAGCTGGAGCTGTAACACAGACCACAGACCAATAAATACTTAAACCTCACCCTAATATCCTTGTGCAACAACAGAACATGCTAAAGGCACTACTCAGTTGCAAAAGCTAATTCAAAGTGCTGGTCCTGGGATGAATAATGATAAAGGAAAAGTCTGAGGATAAACAAAAACATCATAAAAACACTGCTGGCCTATAATAACGTAGGTTATTGCATATAACGTGATTTTCATGGTGGTTTTCCTTGCCAGTGAGCAGTGGGTGAAAACACCAGTCAGCAGATTCAGAACTCTCACTGAGAGCGGCCCGGTCAAGGGTCGGTGAACAAAACAGTAGTTTATGGGCCCCACTAGGCTTTGTTTCATTATATTTCTTTATAATTCTTTTGAATCATAGAAATCATAATCATGAAAAAAATGAAGGCATTCTACCCTTTTGATTCAGAAAAGGGTAGAATGCCTTCTCCGGGTCAGGGATGAGGTCCTGCCCCAAGTGGAGGGGTTTAAGTATCTCGGGGTCTTGTTCACGAGTGAGGGAAAGATGGAGCGTGAGATCGATAGGCGGATTGGTGCTGCATCTGCAGTGATGCGGGCGTTGTACCGGTCTGTTGTGGTGAAGAGAGAGCTGAGTCAGAAGGTGAAGCTCTCGATTTACCGGTTGATCTACGTTCCTACCCTCACCTGTGGTCATGAGCTTTGGGTAATGACCGAAAGAACGAGATCGCGGATACAAACGGCCGAAATGAGTTTTCTCCGAAGAGCGGCTGGGCTCTCCCTTAGAGATAGGGTGAGAAGCTTAGTCATCCGGGAGGGGCTCGGAGTAGACCCGCTGCTCCTCCACATCGAGAGGAGCCAGTTGAGGTGGCTCGGACATCTGGTCAGGATGCCTCCTGGACGCCTCCCTGGTGAGGTTTTCCGGGCACGTCCAACCGGGAGGAGACCTAAAGGTAGACCCAGGACACGCTGGAGGGACTATGTCTCTCACCTGGCCAGGGAACACCTTGGGATTCCCCCGGAGGAGCTGGCCCAATTGGCTGAGGAGAGGGAAGTCTGCGCCTCTCGCCTTAGGCTACTGCCCCCGCGACCCGACTCCGGATAAGAGGATGAAAATGGATGGATGGATGAAAAAAATTGCAAACTCAAATGAAAAAACTACACACACACACACACACACACACACACACACACACTCTAAAAAACTTCATATAATTCATGTTTCATCTTCCTGCTTGCATCTCAGGAGCTGCTGAAGCACTTCCCCTGCAGGGGGGGGACTCGGGAATGCTACTTTCCACAGCTGATGGCTCTCTGGTCAACTTCGGTACTGCATGTTACTTCCTAGCAGCGTTCCTTTTTCAACATTAAAATTCAGATTTGGGGCTTTACCCCACAGGACCGGACAGTCAGGACAGATCGAACCCACGCTAAACTTTACACGTTTAAATAAAAACACAATTGGTTATGTGTTTTAGGGCATATCCCGTTAAAATAAAAAGGGAGGTAATGTTACCTGAGCAGCCATGTTTCTTTTACACTTACAGGCATCGGAGGAGGAAATGCAGGCTGTGCTGGATACGCTGGCTGGGGAGGGAATGCTGGGAAAGCATACTGGGTGGGAAAAGCCTGAGCAGGAAACGCCTGCAGAAAACAGAATTAATCAGAAAAAAAATCACTTTATCATTCTACCTGTGACTCCAAGAGGTTCCATAAGTTCAGTAATTTTAGTTTTCCCTTCACAATCTATCCTATAGGGAGCCAAAGTCACACCCATCTGCTTCCAGAGCACAAGATCCCTACTGCCCGATAACATGAATGGGCGTCTATGGACTGATACGTTACATCTCCACGGATTTAACATATAATGTCCATGAGCTTATTTTCAACTTTAGGTTTTATGTGAAAACATGTAGAGGACCCCAACTGCTCGTGTCGCCCGTAGACATGAATACGTAGACGCTCCATGTGGGGGGGTTCCTCCCTCTCCAACCCAACTGGAGTCTATTCAGGGTGAGCAAGATGCCCATTTTTTGTGCAGCCCATGAAATCACATGGGATTGCTATTGACTTTTCTAGCCCACCTGTTGGGATTTTAAATTTTAATTAATTTTATTTCTATTATTTAATTGTATCTATTTTTTCAATTTCATACCATACCACATGTCTGATTTTGTGGGAAAAATATAATAAAATGTAATTTTTTTAAAGTTTGGTAAATCTAAACACATTCTCAATGCAAGACCGTAAAAATACTTATCAGTTAAACTGAAGCAGGCTTTAACCAAGCCCCCACAATGCGGCTCAGAAATTGGTCTCAACCCGGAAGTACCAAAATTACAGTTCCACCCTCATCCACTAGGGGCTGGTGTCAGAAGCGAGCAAATCCTCATTGACTCCCATGTTAAAAATACCAATTTCACAGCAGAAATAAACATGTTTACAGCCTGGTACCAGAACATGTTTTTGGTTTAAATGATCTAGTTTACACTCATGACAACTCTGAGGGGGGTGAATTTTTTTTCTCACTCTTCTGTTTAAGTGTATTAAAAGCCTAAAATTCTGTATAATTAATGAGCATCAGACCCACGTGACCACAGAACTAGCTCCGTGGAAAGGCCTCAGTAGAGCCTCGGTCTGGCCTGGAAACTGTTCCGGGATTTTGAGTCTCTGTGTTTGTGGATTCTTGTTTGGATATTATTTGTGCAATTGTTGGACAAAATGACTTGCTGTGGCATTAATTGCACTAATAGAGCGTCCAAGGAGTCGCCACTTCATTTTTTTCGGTAAGTAAAATTATATTTATGCATTTTAGGTCACTGCCGAGCTGAGCTTAGATTTTAACATGAACCGTTTAACCATGAAATTTAAATGTAATAGGGTAAAGCCCAGTGCATTTAACATGATGCTGCTCTTTAGAAAATGGGTTGAAATATAACATGTTGGTGGAGCTGGGTTCCGACTATCAGCTTGTGGAGCTCCCGGGAGACCTCCGTTTTCCACCCGTTTCTCCCCTCCCCGCAGCTCGGCGCATCTCTGTCTGATCGCGGCTTCTGTCTGCTGCGCGGGCTGCCGGCTTGTGGAGCTCTGGGATGGAAACCTTTCCACCCGGTTCTCCCCAGCGGCAGCTCTGTGCATCTCAGATCACAGCGGCGCTTGTCTGCTGTGCGGCTGTCGGCTTGTGGAGGTCTCAGAGACCTCTGTGTTCCACCCGGTTTTACCCAGCGGTCAGCCCGGCGTATCTCTGACTCAGAAGCTCTGGTGTTGTGCACAGTTAACTCCGGTTGTAGCTAGGTCGCTACCTCCATTAGCTTAGCTCCCACCTCCGCGTTAGCTTTGGGTTAGCTTGTAGCTACATCGCTTCAGTTCGATGGGTGTCGTCAGTTGATCCCAGCCTTACAGCCCCACCCTCAGCTCCACCTCTCTTCCCTTTTATGGAATTGTCTGGGCTTGACGGAACCTGTGACACGGTCAAAATGGCGGTGGTGGCCACCTCCCATTTTAGTACAAAAACTTATTATTGGAGCCTATGGAAACCCATTGTCCATACATGTATGTCGATGGCTTTAACATGTGTGATTTAACACGTAAGACAAAGTGGACCAGAGAAGACCTTTTAGCAGCCCGTAGACTCCCATTCATTCGGTTTTTGGTTCAGGGGACCCATGAGTTGACAGAAAGAGGATGAGTCTATCTCTCTATATGTAGACATTATGTTAGCATCTTATTAGCATCCTGTTAGCATTATGTTAGCATCTTATTAGCTTTGTGTTATTATCTTATTAGCATTATCTTAGCATTATGTTAGCATCTTATTAGTATCCTCTTAGCATTATGTTAGCATCTTATTAGCTTTGTGTTATTAACTTATTAGCATTGTCATAGTATTATGTTAGCATCTTTTAGCATCCTGTTAGCATTATGTTAGCATCTTATTAGCTTTGTGTTATTATCTTGTTAGCATTATCTTAGCATTATGTTAGTATCTTATTAGCATCCTGTTAGCATTATGTTAGCATCTTATTAGCTTTGTGTTATTATCTTATTAGCATCTTATTAGCATTATGTTAGCATCTTATCAGCATTCTGTTAGCATTATGTTATCATCTTATTAGCTTCGTGTTCTTATCTTATTAGCATTATCTTAGTATTATGTTAGCATCTTATTAGCATCCTGTTAGCATTAGGTTAGCATCTTATTAGCTTTGTGTTATTATCTTATTAGCATTATCTTAGCATTATATTAGCATCTTATTAGCATCCTGTTAGCATTATGTTAACATCTTATTAGCTTAGTGTCATGATCTTATTAGCATTATCTTAGCATCCTTACAGCACTCATGAAGGAAATGGAGGAGATGTCCACTCTGCCACCCACGCTGATGGTGTCGACCGTCTGAAACGGGAGGCGATGCCGGTAGTCCATGAAGTGGGAACCGTTCACACTCAGCTGGAAAGGAAATGTGTTGGGTTTTTTTTTATTTGGAGGAATTTTAACAGGCGGTATCAGTGTCAGTTAGCGTGTTTACATCTGAGCCAAACTAATAAACAGGCTAAAACTGGGCGCTTTAATCCTAGTTAACATGTCCAATAGCAAGCCCACTTATTTAATGAAGTGCGCTCTACTCTGGCATGGTAGGCGGCCGACCAGTGTGGTTTTCGTCAACGCCCCTTTTCCTCAAAACAAAAACGAGTCACTGACGAAATGAAAATAGCTCTTGGTGTCTAAAACATGATGAGATGTGTAAGATTGCATTTAAGCTGGTGGATTTTGAATGAAATTATGTGTGCGTGTGTGTGTGTGTGTGTGTGTGTGTGTGTGTGTGTGTGTGTGTGTGTTTGTGTGTGCGTGCGTGCATGTTTTTTCAGAAAATCTACAGAATGATGCACAGATTGGCATCAATAAATTCAGTATATACAGTGTAGTGATGATCAATAAGGTAAAAGGAAATGATGCCACTCTGGGATCCTTGTTTTGATGGGAAAAATCCAGGTCGTCTGAAATTGTGCCCCATCTCATTTAGCCCTGAAATAAATGATGTTGGCATGAAACTCACTCCAGTGGCTCGGCGTACGCGTGTGACCGATCCAAGCTAATCCACTTTTTCTATAGCACATTTAAAAACTGTGTGGCAGCTGACCAAAGTGCTGTACAGATAAACAATAAAAACTCAATGTATTAAAACAATGAAATCAGAAAATTAAACACAGCATAAATCATTTAAAATGATCAGCGGCCAAATGCTTGATGAATATCATGCAATTTTAGGGCAGCTTTAAAGAGACAATGTGTAGTTGTTAGCATGCGTGCTTTTGTGTCGGCATTCTTCAAGTTGACTTCAGTCAAAGTGAGGGACTAACTTGGTTTTCTGATGCTGTGTGGACGCAGCGAGTGAGAATGTTAGGAATTAACGGCAGCAGTAGCTCAACAGGTGGAGCGGGTTGTCCAGTAATCGGAAGGTTGCAGGTTCGATCCCGGCTCCGGACAGAGAATTCTGCTGTTGTGTCCTTGGGCAAGACACTTAACCCACCTTGCCTGCTGGTGGTGGTCATAGGGACCGGTGGTGCCTGCACTCGGTGGCCTTGCCTCTGTCATTGCGGCCTAGGGCAGCTGTGGCTACATCGTAGCTCATCACCACCATTGTGTGAATGGATGAATGATACACTGTAGTGTAAAGCACTTTGGAGTCCTTACTCTGAGAGGCGCTATACAAGTGCGGGTCATTTTTCATTTATAAAGCCAAGTGGATGGTTACGCTGACTTTGCTTGTTTTCGACAAACTGGCGGTTCAGACCTGGTAGAAGTCCCGAGTCACGGTGATCTGAAGGGTGAAGCCACAGTCAGGCGGAAACGGGCAGCTCTGCTTCCTCTCCTCTGACCCCCAGCGGCCTTGCTGGAAGGTGTTGGTGACCACATAATGGTGACCTTCGTAACGAGGGTTAATGTGGAGCGCGATGTCAGCACCAGATCTGGAACCACACTGCAAATTCACGTTGAACCTGTAGAAAAAGCATGAGTGCTAAAGAAATAAAACAAAACAATGTGAGAACTAACAATTTTCTTGGGTTTATTAGAGAGGACGTGTACCTATCAGCTCCACGTTGAACCCGACCGCTAACGGTGATGGACTTCCCTTCCTGCAGGCCGCCGTGGATGGCTCCGGTGAAAGGTATTCTCTAAAACATGGAAAAACAAAGTGTTTTAAATGTTTCATGATGTTTCAATGTCTGGGGCAACGGTAGCGCCCCGTAACAGGAGGGTTGCAGTTTCAAGCCCCATCCGTTGCAGTCGTTGTGCCCTTGGGCAAGACTAGGGATGAGTAACGAAATCGGTACTTTTTAAGGTACCGACCGAATTCCATAGTACCGACCGAACACCGATTCACGTCATTTCAAACGGTGCCTCGTTTCGGTACTGCCAAGACAGTTGCGCATGCGCAAAAGCGTTATGTCGCCGGTCCCTGCGAGCCCGTTGTAAACAGAGCAAGCATGGTAGAAAGAACGCACGCTAAAGCTTGGGTCCACTTCACTAAATGTGATGGGTAACTGGGTGATGATGAAACTAGCGACAGACAACGATCTAAGTGAGACATCCTCATCTTAATCTGCTCCGGTAGGTAAATAAAATGTTTAAGATAACGTTACCTTGATTTGTTAGCTTCCATTTCGCTAATGGTGCGTTCGCTTTCTCCTCGGAACTCTGAATTTCCGACTAGAAGAACATGAACGCGCTCTAAAGTTTGGCTTTACTTTATTAAATGCGACGGGTGATTGGGTGAAGGTAAAACCAGTGACAACGATCTAAGTTTGAGGCATCATCGTTTTAATCTGCTCCAGTAGGTAAATAAAATGTTTAAGATAACGTTACCTTGATTTGTTAGCTTCCATTTCGCTAATGGTGCGTTCGCTTTCTCCTCGGAACTCCGAATTTCCGACTAGAAGAACATGAACGCGCTCTAAAGTTTGGCTTTACTTTACTAAATGCGACGGGTGATTGGGTGAAGGTAAAACCAGTGACAACGATCTAAGTTTGAGGCATCATCGTTTTAATCTGCTCCAGCAGCTAAATAAACTGTTTAAGATAACGTTAGCTTGATATGTTAGCTTCCATTGCCACCGTTGTTATCAGCTAATGGTGCGTTCGCTTTCTCCTCGGAAATTCTAACTTCCCAGTAGGAAAAATCAAATGAAAAAGGACGGCAAAAGGAATGAAGATACACAGTAAATTTAGTTCACAGTAAAGATGTTTGCTTCAGTTTAATTATCAGCTTATAAAACTACAAGGACGATGTTAAAATACAAACAGTTGTATGTTATTTATCGTGATATTTATCAAATATGGTTATATATTGAAAAAATATATATTTAATTATAAAAGAGAATTAAAATAATAAACACTCAAAAGTATCGAAAATTGGTACCGTTAAGTACCGGTATCGACTCGTAGGTACCGGGAATTAGTACCGGATCGATTCAAATGTCAAAGGTACCCATCCCTAGGCAAGACTATCACCCACCTTGCCTGTGGTGGTCGGAGGGTCTGGTGATGCCAGTCCCAGGCTGTGGCTGCAGCTGTGGCTATACTTTAGCTCATCCCTCCGGCGTGTGAGTGGGTGAATGACTGATTGTGTTGTAAAGCACCTTGGGGGGTTGTAGAACCCTACAGAAGACGCTATATCAAAAACAGGCCATTTACTACGATGTTTACTCAAAGTTTGATCCAAACTTGTCACTAATGGGAGGTTTCATGGAGGGTGATGCAACACAACCAGTATCTCTAACTGGTTTAATTAAACAAAATTTATTTATTATTGTTTAATTCATGTAATATTGTTTTGATCATTTGTGGCTCTAAAAATAAAACTAGGTTAAACTCTGAAGACGTTTTCAGTTCCTTGTTGTGGCCTTCGCTCTCGTGTAAACAGGAGCGCAGATAGGGTGGGGGACGGGGGGTGGAATCTGTCCCCCCCCAGATTCAGATCGACCCCGATCTGTCGTCCCCCCCCCCCCCCCCCCCCCCCCCCGCGCACTAAGGCAGGAAATACAACAAAATCAGAGGTTACGCACTTGAAGCTGCTTTTTCCAATCACATTGAATGCAGCATGACGTAAACAAACACCGACTCCAGAGGCGCCAGAGTGGTTGCTGCTAGAATGCAGGATGAAGCGAAAAAGGCAACGATTACTGCGTATTTAAACAAGACCAACAGTGTAAGTAGGCGGGACTGATCTGTCCGTTTATGCGTGTTGGTTCTAGTTTCAGTACGTTGTTGTCAGTGTTGGGACTTACTCGTTATAAGTGCCAAAGCCTCACTGCTGACTTTAACAAGTCTCATCTACAAACATGAACCTCATGAAGTTACTACTTTACACCAGAAGATAGTGGAGATGTGGAACCTTCAGGCTGAGCAAAGTTTGGGAGTTTTTAGAGTTTGAAAATCGCCTCCCGCCTAGAGGCTCCCAGTCTGGGAGAGGAGGAGATGCGTGCAGCATGAAGAGGGCAAATATTAGATAAAAGGCATAATTGCCGGCAGGTCTGGTCTTTGTTGACTCATCACTTTGTCTGGTCATGACTGACTCTGATTATGAAGCAGAATATTGACTCTGATGAAGAAATTCCCTCATCCAGCCGGGACGACTGACGCTGCTGCAGCATCAGACAGCTGGTGCTGCACGAGAGGTGTGTGGAGTTTACAAGCTCCAGACGTTGGGTTTGATGTTGGTTTAACCTTCTCTGGGACGTGATGGATGTAGAAATGATGGTAAAACACCGCTAACGTGACAGACGTAGCGACAATGTAAAAAAAATTAAAAAGCTGTAAAAAAGGGCAGATGCCGATGCGTTATGTATGGAAGTCAAGTGTGCCACATAATCATAAAAAAGTAAAATATAAAATTTACAAAGAGATTTATATATTTATATATAAATAAAAACTTTCCAAATATAATGAAAATGTATAAATAACGCAAAAATACGAAGGAACATCTGTTGGTCAGGCTGAAAAGTTTGGGAACTACTGCTCTAAGTCATAAGTGAACTTAGTTTTTTAAATATATTTTATGTGCAGTTTTTTAGGGTTTTTATGTTTTCTGTAAAGATTGGTATGCTGAAAATCATTTCATGTTTTGCATAAAGCACGAGGTTTTGGTTAGTAATTGATTGGAAGAATAACAAATGACTGAATTGGATAGCGTTGATCAGGCAGAGCTTTGTTGCCAGCGTTCCACTGCATAATGGCTTCAAACACGTATATAAAAGTGTTCGTTTGTTTGTAAACCATTGGAGGAAATTACACAAACTGACTGAGCTCTAGTTAAGGCTCTTGCAATAGTTTGTGTGTGTACGTGCGTTAAGAGGTGTGAATCTTCACTTGTCTCCCGATTCAATTCGATATCCCGATGCATCACGATTATTTCATATTGATTTGTTTTCATCGCTAAATTGAAGATAATAATAATAATAAATAATAATGCATTGAACTTATATAGCGCATTTCTAGACACCCAAAGACGCTTTCACACACTCTCACATCCACACACTGCTAGTGATGGTAAGCTCCTTGTAGCTACAGCCGCCCTGGGGAGGTCTGACAGAGGCGAGGCTACCATTTGGTGCCGTCGGCCCCTCTGACCACCACTAACACAGGCAAGTTGGGTGACGTGTCTTGCCCAAGGACACAACAGTAGGACACCCCTGGCGGGAGCTGGAATCGAACCCATGACCCTCCGATCATGAGGCAACCCGCTCTACCACCTGAGCTACTGCTGCTGTCAGATAATAGCTTTTAGTTTTATTTTTTTAATCAAAAATGTAAGTGACATAACCTGCCATCCCTCAAAAGCTCTCCATTCACGACAGGCTAGGACAAAACATGTTAAACATTTAAGAAGATTTAACAAAGTAAAACCTTCTGTTTCCTCGTTCAACACCACGCCTCAGGCTGAGAAAAACACGCTTTGCAAAAACCCTCAAAATCTAAAAAAGTACTGAAAACCTACAGGACACATAATGTAATAATAAAATCCATAATGGGTTCATATATGAGTGTTTAATGTCTCTGAGCAGCTCTAGAGTCAAATATTTATGCCACAGTTGAAGGGTGTCAGAAAAAACACCAAATTAAATGTTTGACTTAGTTTGTTATTTTATTTGAACCCAGTGGTTCTTTTCTGAAATGTTGGAGAATGAATCAAGTTCTGTTTGATGCAGAAAATAATAAAACATAAAACAAATTCTACACTTCCAATAATATTTAAGATGTGTGTTTTATTCTTGCTGATAATAACACCAGCAGAAGGCTGTGGGTTGGATTAGGATTAAATTACCCATCTGATGGATCTCCTTCACAACCAGCTAACTACAAACCTTTCCACTAACCTGTCCTGTGTGACCCTCACCATGTAACCCTCATGTCCATGCGACCCTCATGTCCATGTAACCCTCATGTCCATGCAACCCTCATGTCCATGCAACCCTCATGTCCATGTAACCCTCATGTCCATGCAACCCTCATGTCCATGCAACCCTCACCATGTAACCCTCATGTCCATGCGACCCTCATGTCCATGTAACCCTCATGTCCATGTAACCCTCATGTCCATGCAACCCTCATGTCCATGTAACCCTCATGTCCATGCAACCCTCATGTCCATGCAACCCTCAAGTCCATGTAACCCTCATGTCCATGCAACCCTCATGTCCATGCAACCCTCACCATGTAACCCTCATGTCCATGCGACCCTCATGTCCATGTAACCCTCGTGTCCATGTAACCCTCATGTCCATGTGACCCTCATGTCCATGCAACCCTCATGTCCATGTAACCCTCATGTCCATGTAACCCTCGTGTCCATGTAACCCTCATGTCCATGCAACCCTCAAGTCCATGTAACCCTCATGTCCATGCAACCCTCATGTCCATGCAACCCTCACCATGTAACCCTCATGTCCATGTAACCCTCACCATGTAACCCTCATGTCCATGCGACCCTCATGTCCATGTAACCCTCGTGTCCATGTAACCCTCATGTCCATGTAACCCTCATGTCCATGCAACCCTCACCATGTAACCCTCATGTCCATGCGACCCTCATGTCCATGTAACCCTCGTGTCCATGTAACCCTCATGTCCATGCAACCCTCACCATGTAACCCTCATGTCCATGCGACCCTCATGT